CCGTTTAAAAGCTTGTAAACCGAAGAAGTTACACGTACGTATTCATTCGAAGGATCGTATCATTATGCCTTGAGATAAACTTTGTAATGAAGCGGCTGTGCTTATCGCAACTTATTAAGGAAATATCAGTAACCATTGACTGTACTAAAATAATTTCCATCAATTTCCAAGATGCTAATCCGTAAGTGCTCGCATGAGGTTAATTAGATCTCAAGTTAGATCTCAGTTTTAACTTATTTATATCTTACGTATAAACAAAACTTTTCATACTTATTTATAAATGATTATAAACTAAGGCATATGTGTTTTAAATATAAAATAACATTTTTTAAGTGCTAAAAATAAAAATTCCATATTTAAAAGAATATTTCTTTATATACATAGGAAGAAAAATTAGTCTTAAATGAAAACAAATATTTTCTTTTATGAGCAAGAACATTATAATCTTATTAAAAATTTCGGTCCTGATCTGACTAAATTTGTATCGATGCAAGTATTACTTTTGTTCAAGACTAAAAATCTTCTATTATAATATATATATATATAAGAATATATATAAGAATAGTTAGTCTTGATGTAAAAGTAATTATTTTTTTTATGTAACATTTAGATTAATAAATGCAAGTGGGAAGCTTCCAAGGCTGAGTCAGTTTAACTCCCACTTACCCAAGATGAAACAAACGTAAAGGAAAATAAAATAGAAAAAAAAACGTGCGCTCGAAAGGATCAAAGGGCACTCGCAATCACGTGGCCGATCATAATCACGCGACAGTAAAAACATCTATCTCTATATTTATTAACGGTATCCTTTTAATTACTATAATAACTGCCTCTCTGTAACACTGCCGGCATCTGTCTACCGAAGTACGTCGCTATACGTACCACACATCGACTTTATTTTTTTTTACCGAGAGAGACTTCGTCTTTTACATCTCGTCAAACGATATATCCGACTTTCCGAAAGTTGAAAGTACACATTATTGAAAATGACGAAGACGAGACGAGGCTCGCGTCGGGTCTCACTAATGCGGTTCTTCCTCGCAGCTTCCGTTCATAATGCTCCAAGTCTCTCCTGTCCTCCCCGAGAATGACGTCAGCAAGACGGGGACAAATTTTTACAGACGACTCACTCGACGACGCAACGGCGCGAGGACTGACACGGAGGGAGAATTTATTCGCGTCTCTCTAGCCGATGGAGTTTTGCTTCACGCATTTCCCACTTGCGCACTTCGAATTTCCGTCCTTCGCCCACAGATCAACGATCCCTCGGCCGATTTCGCGCGGCTCGTCGCTGAGAACGATATTTGAAACGAGCGACCTCAGGCGAGCACATTGGCTTTTCCGAAGGTGCGGTATCTCGGGGCTGTGCGGACATCTCTCTCGGGGTCGCGGCCTTTTCGTAGGAGTGACTGATCGTGTGCGCGTCCCGCGCTTGGAGAAACGTGTGAACGTCGCGGCCAACAAGCGGCGAGACGCGCCGAGGTTTTTCTCCCATAAATCGAGAGGCATACACGTGAAATTCCGCGTTAAATTAAGAAACCAGTGATCGAGATAGCGATGGAGGATTATGCGCGGGATATGCGCGTGTCTCGGGAGGGGTGGGTGGGAGGGGGAGGGGAGGAGGGGGCATTAAGGAGGAAACTTAAAAAACGAATAACCGGACGCCGGAGCCAACGACACGCCGCTTTGCCTTTGACGCCGCGTCTCTCCTCTCGAGGACGCCTCTCCTCTCCCTCGCGACGTCATCTTTTTGAGAGCGCACAGCTGCAGGCACCCGAGAGTGTGGGAGACAGCCCGCAGGAGCAGCGCGTCGTAAATTTAGAGGCGGACGTGGCGCACTTTATTTCCCGGCGCGAACGAAAAGCGCCGCTCGCTGTCGCCGGTCGAAACTCGCGGTCGACATTCGCCTAAATTGCATTATAAGTTACTGCTATTTACTATTTTATCGATCGACGAGCGCCAGGTATCACGTTGCTCGGTGAGAAAGCCGCGTCCGCTGCTTCTCGAGCCTGTGCTCGCTTAATTAACCCGCGAGGAATGGAATGCATCGCACCCGATCGTTTCCTTTTGATATGACGGTAAACGCCGTCAAATTAAATCGAAAAGATTCGCGTAGGCGAGTACACGGTTGGTCACGCGTGAGTACGAGCGTAGAAACGGCGGATACGATCTTTAAGAACGTATATATTACGCCTACTTTTGTTTACAATGGAAAAATTATAGATTGTGCCAAGTCGCATTTAAAAGTAATACAACAAAGTTTTGTGGCGGCTTCAGAATCTGGAAATTATTTAAGTATAAAGTTAAGTAGAAAAGTGCTTTTAATAGAAATGTAATTAAGAAATAATGACAATCTCGATTTTTGTTTTTTTTATGTAAGTACTTATTCGATTTGAAGTATGTCGATGACTTTGATATAAAAACTTAATTTTTATTAAAAATACAAACAAAATGATGAGGTGATACAAATAAAATTAAATTTTATTTACAGAACAACTAATCTCGCAATGAAACTTTATATAAATCTTAAATAATTATACTTATAAAAAAAATTAAGATTTTTAAATAATTTCTTTAAATAATTTTTAAAATTAAGATTTCATTTCTTAATTACATTTCTATTGGAGCACACTTCTACATATTTATTTAAATCTTTGCTCTAAATTTTAAATCACCGCAAAGCTTTTTTTATATTATTATTTTTTAATTTAGAATAATTTGTAAATTTTTCGTAATTTTTTCATTGTACATATAAAAATTATAAAAATTTATGCACATACATTAATACATTTTTAAGATCGTCGTAGATTGCTTTCGAAGAAAAAAGAACCGCTTTTCGTATATTGGATCTTTATTTCACGGTGAAGCGAGATTTTAAGAGGAATCGCGGAGAGAAAATCTTTATCGTCGGAATAAAATATCAATATAATTATCACCATTGTGATTACTATGGCGAGAGTGATGTCTACTTCTCCACGGCTTAATATAACACACGATGTTATTCTTACTTCGGCTGTGAAATATGATTAGTCTTGCGATTTCAAATGCGAATAGAGAAACACACGTCAGTTAAACATCGTATTAGTTCATCACGAGTTTTAAAAAATATATTATTTATATATATATATATTAGGTGTACAAAAAGTTCTGAGCTTTTTTTGTAAAATTCAATCTTTATTCAAAAACAATCAAAAAAAATATTAATCAGCGAAATATTCCCCATTTGTATCAACGATCTTTTGCCATCTTTCGGGTAGCTTGCGAATTCCTTGACGATAGAAGCTCACCGGCTTCGAAGTGATAAAGTCATCAATGCATTTTCGTATCTCTTCAAATCTCACGAAATGTGTATCAGCCAAATGATGCTGCAGCGACCGGAATAGGTAGTAATCGGAAGGCGCCATGTCTGGGCTATACGCGTGCGGGAGAAGTTCCCACCCTAACGCAAAAATATGGTCCTGAGTCGCTTTC